AGGGGCCTTCCACTACTTGCGCCAAGGACGTGATGGCCGCGTTGTCCGAGCCCTGCGTCGACGGCAAGGTGGCCGAGGCGATGGCGGCAGCAGCGGCAGCAGATCCAGCACAAGCTGCAGAGGACTGGTATCACAAAACCAAACCATTGCATCATGCGTTTCGAAACGGTTCTTTGATTGTGACGTGTTTGGAGGATCTCTTGCACGCAGTATGCAATGCCATCGGCGGGGCGGCGTGAGCCTTTCGAACAGCCTCATGTCACCTACCCTCCCCCTGCCGTCCCCGACTTCGAAGACCGTGACAACAGTCTCAACAGTAACTTGACACACCCCGTGGGTGGCAGCATTTTGCTGCCATCATCTTGCTGGCCAGGGGACGCAACAAATTAAGGTCCTGGGGCCCAAAAAACACAGCGATGACCCCCCCCTTCCTCCTCCTCCTCCGCCTCCCCCTTTCCCTTGCTCCCCGCTCTTCTCCTCCGATGAGTACTGCTGCTGCTACTCCTTCGTCTTATTCAGGGCCCCTCGGCCGTTTCGATACAGGACCCCTTGACGCTGCTGGCCGACGTTGTCGAGGAGATCTGCGATGGGGGGAGCGGCGGTGTCGAGGCCGCAGGCGATGCCGTGCTTGACGCCTCTGTCCTGGAGCCGTGGTGGACCGACAGTCTGTCCCAATCAGCCGACGTAATGAAACGAATCAACGAGCAGAGAAAATACAGCATACCCCATGTGAGCCGTAATATTTCCCTTATGCTGTACAGCGGTAAAGAAGCAGGCGGGCTGGCTGCCGCCGAATTTTTCCATTGGGTGCAACATGCAGGCACCCCCCCAAAAAAAAGAAGAAGAAGAAAAAGAAGAAGGAAAAGCAACGACAACACCTGTGGGGCGCAAAGTTCTCCTAGACGATCGTAAGAGGGTTGTCTTCTCTGTGCCCGCTCTCGTTCTGACAACAAAGGTTTCTAACTTCGACTGGTTAGCTGTAGTGCCAGAGCGCGGAGTAGCAGTGGAGAAAGTGACACAAGGGCTGCGCCCCTTCGTCAGCGATTGGGTCTTGAGGGCCAAAGCAATGGTTGATGCGTGTGTGTCGGTTTCAGCAGCGACGCACGCTGGAGAATCTGACATGCTCGCCGTGTCCTTGAATCCTTGTTCCCCACATGCTTAGTGGGGTTCTTGTTCGTCCAACCCGCGCCGCACCCGCGTTCACCTCACCTCCTCCTCCTCCCCCCTCCTCTTCCTTCCTCCCTCACCCACCCGCGTTCCCACCTCGCCTCCTCCTTCTCGCTCGTACACACACCACACCATACCACACCACATCGCACCACACCACACCACGCAACACCACACCACACACCACCACACCACACCACACAACACCACACCACACCACACCACACCACACACCATAGGAGGTGCGCAGGGGGTGGTCTCTCACCGCGGCCGCTATCCGTGCCGGTCGTCCAGGGCACAGCAGGCGTGGCATATTCTCGACACCATAGGGGGTGCGCAGGGGGTGGTCTCTCACCGCGGCCGCTATCCGTGCCGGTCGTCCAGGGCACAGCAGGCATGGCATATTCTCGACACCATAGGGGGTGCGCAGGGGGCGGTCTCTCACCGCGGCCGCTATCCGTGCCGGTCGTCCAGGGCACAGCAGGCATGGCATATTCTCGACACCAGAGGGGGTGCGCAGGGGGTGGTCTCTCACCGCGGCCGCTATCCGTGCCGGTCGTCCAGGGCACAGCAGGCATGGCATATTCTCGACACCATAGGGGGTGCGCAGGGGGTGGTCTCTCACCGCGGCCGCTATCCGTGCGGTCGTCCAGGGCACAGCAGGCATGGCATATTCTCGACACCATAGGGGGTGCGCAGGGGGTGGTCTCTCACCGCGGCCGCTATCCGTGACGGTCGTCCAGGGCACAGCAGGCATGGCATATTCTCGACACCATAGGGGGTGCGCAGGGGGTGGTCTCTCACCGCGGCCGCTATCCGTGACGGTCGTCCAGGGCACAGCAGGCATGGCATATTCTCGACACCATAGGGGGTGCGCAGGGGGTGCGCAGGGGGGTCTCTCACCGCGGCCGCGCGGTCAGGCACAGCAGGCATGGCGATAGACGTCCAGGGCAGGCATGCAGGCTCTCTCACCGCGGCCGCTATCCGTGCCGGTCGTCCAGGGCACAGCAGGCATGGCATATTCTCGACACCAGAGGGGGTGCGCAGGGGGTGGTCTCTCACCGCGGCCGCTATCCGTGCCGGTCGTCCAGGGCACAGCAGGCATGGCATATTCTCGACACCATAGGGGGTGCGCAGGGGTGGTCTCTCACCGCGGCCGCTATCCGTGACGGTCGTCCAGGGCACAGCAGGCATGGCATATTCTCGACACCAGAGGGGGTGCGCAGGGGGTGGTCTCTCACCGCGGCCGCTATCCGTGACGGTCGTTGCACAAGCATGCACAGCAGGCATGGGTGACACCAGAGGGGGGTGCGCAGGGGGTGGTCTCTCACCGCGGCCGCTATCCGTGCGGTCGTCCAGGGCACAGCAGGCATGGCATATTCTCGACACCAGAGGGGGTGCGCAGGGGGTGGTCTCTCACCGCGGCCGCTATCCGTGCCGGTCGTCCAGGGCACAGCAGGCATGGCATATTCTCGACACCATAGGGGGTGCGCAGGGGGTGGTCTCTCACCGCGGCCGCTATCCGTGCCGGTCGTCCAGGGCACAGCAGGCATGGCATATTCTCGACACCAGAGGGGGTGCGCAGGGGGTGGTCTCTCACCGCGGCCGCTATCCGTGCCGGTCGTCCAGGGCACAGCAGGCATGGCATATTCTCGACACCAGAGGGGGTGCGCAGGGGGTGGTCTCTCACCGCGGCCGCTATCCGTGACGGTCGTCCAGGGCACAGCGGGCACGGCATATTCTCGACACCAGAGGGGGTGCGCAGGGGGTGGTCCCCCATCAGTTTCGGGCTCGCAAAGTGCGGCAGGCGTTGCATTTTCTCGACACCAAAAGGGGTGCGCATGGGGGTGGTGCCCTTATGCGGCGCGGGCTCGCAAAGTGTGGCGGGCGTTGCACCTTCTCGACACCGCAAGGGGGTGCGCAGGGGGTGGTCCCCCATATCCGCTTCGGGCTCGCAAATTGTGGCAGGCGTTGCACGTTCTCGGCACCACAGGGGGTGCGCTGGGGCTGGTCCCCCCTATCCGTTGCGGGCTCGCAAAGTGTGGCAGGCGTTGCAGATCCCCGACGCCACAGAGGCGAACGACACTGCCAGGAGGCTGCGCTTGGTGCAACATGATATGACCACGCAGGATCTGAAATAAGTATGTGGGGTTCCTCGGTAGCATAATTTTGTATGTAAGGGCATGCCTGGCGTGCAACAGACGTGCACCTTCTGCTTGAGTACTGCGCGCGGTCCCTGCGTCGATAAGTTGGTGAACGTCGCCGACGACACGTTATTTTTTCGAACGTCGCGCTTCGCGACGTCCCAGCGCCATCAATTTTCGCAGATGGCTTGTGTCGGCTTTGCGTGAGATCTGGCGTTGTAAGTGTTGGCAAGGACTGGTCGCACATTCCGTGAACCAACATGTTGATCACAATATGAAGGGTCATGTGCGTTGTGGGTCGTCCACTCTGTCGTGCCATGGGTGTTCCAGCTTAGTTAGACCAAGACAAAACAATCGAACAACAGTGGACATCGAGGCCCAGCCGACGTCCGAGCGACACATTATTTCAAATCCGCATTCGCTCAGCAATTCACCAGGTGAACAAAAACACACATAAAACACAAGTGGACAAGTCAGAATTGTTTGCCCAGAGAGCGCCCCGTGAAATATTTCTTTCTGTAAGCACCCGTCTGAAAGATTTTTCCCCGCTTTCTTTCGCAGAACCCTCCCTCGTGAAAGAATTCCTCGCCATTTCTGGCACAGACCCCCCCTGCGAAAGAAATCCACCCGATTTCTTTCAAACTACCCTTCCCAGAAAGACATCTTTCAGAAGGGGGTCGTCGGGGGCGGCGCCAATTGCCGCACAAAAAAAGGCACTCTGGGCGCGCGAGATTATCAACGCAGGAGCGGCATCAGCCGCTGCAAAAATCTTGAACTGGTTTCCAGGGTCCCGCGACCGGTGCAAATCATTACCAAAACAACCCTGAGCACCTACCGTTCGTTGCCTTTCTGGCGCGGGCGGGCCGCGAGAGTCTCGATGCCTGAGCCTCGAGCAACTAACTGTTCGAGTCAAGGATTTTGTCTTGGCCCGCGCGGCCAAAGCCCCTTTTGCACGGCCTGCGGGCCCGAGAGGGCGCGTGCACGCACCGTCGTGTCGGGGCCGTCGTCGCTGTAACCATCGCTACAGACTGGTCGCCAACGCCGGCTGCCGTCCCCCGTCGCTCGCAGCTGGGAGGGAACACTTTTGAGAAAAACTGCAGTAGCGCAGAAATTCTCAAACGCGTTCCCTCCTGATTTTCAGCCGAAGGGAGCGGGAGGGCCGCTCGCTCGGCAGGAGGCCGTGCCTCCTTGCTCTCTGTCCTCCGTCCTATTCACTCCTCCACTCCGTCGGTCCCCCATTTCATCCCCATCCTCCCTCCTCTTCTTTCGTCGGCGAAAGCAGCGTGCAGAGCCGCCCCAGTTGGGATGCGGAGGCGGCACGAGGGTGGTCACCTCCTTCATTCGGCGATGACATGTCGCCCGTAGCCGTTTTGGCTCAAATCGGTTTGACAGCAAGCTCGCGCCAGCACAGCCAGCACTTCTCTGCGGCCGTGCACTTGCGCACAACATTATCAAGCAATGCCGCCACCTGCAGCCCAGAGCGAGCACCTTTACGGCCCTCGCCCGAGCGTGCAAGCACGCTGGCCCGATGCGAAGGACGAAGGTGAGATCTGGAATAAGACAACGGAGGATTTCCCAAGGGAGGTCCAGTGTCGTCCGTGGTTTGACGGCACGGGGAATCCACTCATCTCTGGCTCTCCTGAAAATGTTCGGAACGTCCGCTCCGCCCAGCGCAAGTACTGCGGGCGCATGCTCAGCGAGGGCATCGACTACAGTGCTCGTGGCGAGCCATGCGGCTACGCAGTTGGTGATCGGACTGAGCTGCTCGCTGGGGAGCAGCTGGCGATGGCTTTCTACATGGCCCACAAGCAGGACCCCAAGAATACACATGTTGAGCGGTGTCTTGCTGAAGGCTATAAGGTTGCCGTCTGGCCTCGCAACATGCCGATCGAGGTGACAATGGAGATCGTCAAGCATATGAACAAGTTCCATGACGGCATCGCCAACACGCCCGCAGACATGACCACGTCTGTTCCACATGTCGAGGCAGGTTTTGGCAACTTCCTCGATGCCCACAAGCAGTCATCTCGAACAGTCGCGACCAAGGGGCAGTACTCCTACCACAACTTGTATTCAAAGTACGTCAAGGAGAACTACGGAGAGAAGTATTCAACCAAGTGGGAGTGCTACAACGCCTCCAAGATAGTGTACCATGCCATGGCCAAGTGGGACCTGACCGAGGAGTTTTCCGAATGGCTGGACGATGCCGCGGGCGTCACTGACCTGCATATCTACCAGGACATGTACAAGAGCATCGAGTGCTGCCGTGCCTGGGTTGCCGCCATGTCGAAGGGCCGTGCGTTCTTCGAGACCCGCGCTGATCTTCAAGTGTGGGGGAGCATGTTGTTCGTCGGGTTTGGAGCGTGCTTCCCCATGGACGGTGGCAGCGAGGCGGGCGAAATCATTGACGGGGTGTGGCCGTTGACTCAGAATTTCAGGGGCAAGGCCGCAAACGAGATCGACGACCTCCTGGCTCTGTTGACGCAGACAGTTCCTGGGGCGACGGCTCGCGCGAGCCAGAGAGAGAAGGCACCCAAGAAAGATGGACAGGCAGCCAAGAGAAGGCGCACGGCCAAGAGCGCCGCCGACCATGCCACCGACGCTGGTGCCAACGTTCTGACGACGGACGACGCGAAGACAGCGCTGGCTCGGGAGCGAGAGGCTCGGGAGCGAGAGTCTGCCGAGCCAGCAACGTGGATCCAGACGTACAAGGCAGCTGTGGTCGCGCCATTCAACTACTTCCTCCATGGGTCCATGGGCCTCTGCTGCAAAGGTCGCATCCTCGACCAATCGGCGCGAGTTGCGCTCACGCACCTCTTCGGCGGACCCAGCGAGACCTACCGCAGATGGGGCCAGTGCCACAAGGCCATCGGCGAAGGAGTGGTTCGGTCGCGCCTAGAATTCCGCAGCGATGCTGCCCTCGAGCATTTGCCTGCTGTCGAGTGTGGCTTCTCCCTCCAGGCGCACGTGGCCGAGGTGTCCCAAGTTGACGCTGGGCCCGACATCCAGATGGACTCGCCAGAGAGGAAGCATGGGAAGCAATCTGTGGAAGGAGATCAACCAGCCCTCGTTCGCCGCGCTCGGAGGTTCAAGCGGCTTTTCGTGGGCGCCACGATGATGATGCGCCCCCGAGCTTTTACGAACGGCTGCGGGCTTGACACGGAGTGCGGCTGGAAATCTGCGCCCGTGGTGAAGGAGATGATTGCGCACATTGCGCATGGCAGCAGTGGCTTCGACGGTCTGACGCTTGAGGGCGCGCTCGAGCGCATCTGGGAGCACGCGACGAAGATCTTCGAGGCCGATTGGTTGCGCATGGCCAAGTTGAGCGCCCAGCCGATCCACCGCCAGGACACCTCGCGCCCCCCCCCCCCCCCTCCCACGTCTGCGTCGAAGGATGGAGACAGGAGGGCGAGGGCGAGGCGGAGGGAGGGGGCGCCGCGGGCACGGGCGGAGGGGGAGGGGGGGGGAGGGAGGGAGGGAGGGAGGGAGGGGGAAACATCTTCACGTTGGGGGTCCTGTGGGCTTCCTCCAGGATGTTTCTAGAACCCTAGCCGAATGCAAAGACCCGGGGCCGCCCAGGACGCGCCCCCCGCCGACGGTGACATGAGGGACACGATCGACGAGATCTTCGTCGACTGCGACGGTGCCTGCCGCTTCTTCGCCATGCGCTCCAGGATGGTCGCGATCGCTGTCCAGGAGGCGCGCGGTGGATCCCTTCCAGGCAGCGCGACGGCCCGCGTCGAGAAGCTACTTGCGTCGGCTTCCGACGCCGACGCGAAGCTGCTCCAGGTCGCCGACGCGACCACCATCGCGAAGGAGTCCGAGAGGGTGACCTTCTGGCTCAGCGTGCGTGGAGATGATGATGACGCCGACTCGGCTGCCGCGGCGTCATCGGCAGGCGGGGCGAGTGGAGACGGCGACAGCCTGAGCCCTGAAGCTCCCAAGCCCCCGCAGGAGGCGACGGCAGATGCAGCGGGCGAGCCAGCGACCCAGACGGGAAATACCACCAACAATGAGGAGCAGGCGCAGCTCGTGCCCGTGAAGGTTGAGGGCCACGAAGCAGCGAAAGCGCCCTTGGACACGCAGAAACGCTACATCGGAGATTTCTTGTCTCAGCCACTTGTTGGATGCACGCTTTCCCCCACCATGCTCAAGATCATAATGTCCCAGCTTGCCGTCGGCATCCTGAAGAGGTTCTCTCCTGGCGGAGGCATGTGCGTTGATTCTGGGTGGGCGCACGTATGCGAGAAAGATAGCGCCCTTTTATGCGGAGTCGCTCTCGCCGAGCACACGCTTCAACTACCTGGGGGACGTCGTGCTTGCGCCGAGCGAGACCGCCTTCCTCTTGACCGAGATCGGCGGGCTCAAGGTGAGCATGGATGGCAAGAACTACCAGTCCCCTTTCAACCCGTTCATGACCCCTACATGGGCAGTTCCCGACATGAAGAAGCAGGGTGGCAAGAAGGTAGCGGCGGCGCCAGTGGATGCTGGGGCCGACGTTCGCGCAGATGGCGAGTGGGCTACCCTGGACACGCGGCGGGAGTGCTTCCATTTGACGATCCCGCTCGAGGGCACGGGCCGCAAAGGGCCTGAAGGAGATCAAGCTGAAGGCCTGGATGTTCTACCTGACGCCCCACCCTGATGCGCTCGGGCTCAAGGGCGCGATGCTTGTCAAACCGAAAACGCCAGAGGAATACTCCGTCAGTAAGGCTGTTCAGAGAGAGTCGAAGGGACTCTATGATGTGCGCCAGGCCGAGAAGCGTGCCGCCTCCAACGCAGCTGCGGCCAGCGCAGCGGAGAAGGCGAAGCCCGTGGCCATCCCGAAGGGAACGGCCAAGGGCCACGCTAAATCCATGGGCGGCGTAAAGGCCTGCCCCAAGTATTTGTGCATGTGAAAATCTATGTAAGAATCAGGCGGCTGACTGGTGCACACCAGTCCTCGCGAGCGCATGTGGGCTCAGCGCGCTCTTGCCGCCTCGTGGTAGCATCACCCGAAGTAGCTAGGTAGAAGTACGGAGGCAGACACGCTGCCGTGGCACAGCGATCGATAGCAGCGCAGATCGATCCAAGCATTGTCACAGCCATCGTTGTAACCTCCCCCTCCTCCTCGCCCCCCTCGCTTCTCCCCCCCCCGCCCTCTCCCCGCTCCGCTTCTTCCCCCTCCTCCTCCTCCTCCTCCGCTCTCTCCCCTTTCCCCCCCTTCCTCCTACTTCTCTCTCCTCCTTCTCCTCCGAGTCGCCACGTTGCTTTCTCGAGCGTCGAGCCCGCCTCGCCTAATGCGTGGCGCCAAACGGGGTGTTCGACAAGTGGCAAGATATGGCGTTTCCACTGTCGTGCGCAATGTGTTATGAGCGTCGATGTGTTTTCACGTGGGTGTGCGTTGCCACGCAACGCGCTGAGACGTCGAATACGCGTTGCCATGATCGTTTGAACGGCGTTTTGGGCGAGAGGTACATGTCAATATCACCATTTGGGCTGATCTGCATATGTGCAAATCACACGTTTCGGTCGCATCAGTTCTACATGAATCCGTATTTTATTGGTGATCCATTATACACAAGTGTAAGGAGACGCTTATGTGGATGGCAAAGGGGGCCCCATGAAAGAATTGTCCGGGGAGGCCAACATGACCACTTGATGGCATGCATTTGCATCTCCCCATGACAAACCATTTGGAACCGGGTCTGGGAGCTATTTCCGGGTGGCCGGCGGGACGGGCCGAAACCCCAGGGGGTTTATTTTGGAAAAAGAGCTAAAACCGAAACCGAAAGGGTCTAGCACGCCAGGCACCCTTGCGATGAATCGACAGGGGGCGGCGGATCGAAGACGCCTACGGCGAATCACCGCCGCCCCCTGCCCCTTTGGAAGCGCTTCTGTTTCTGTGGCCGACAGCTGGGCCAGAGCTTGGCCAAGCTATCGGGCCAGTTGTTCCCCGAGTCGGTTTGGAAAGACTTGGGGGAACGCATGGGGGAGCAAGAAGAGGAGGAGGGGGAGGATGAGGAAAAAGGAAGAGGAGGAGGAAGAGAGGAGGAGGAGGAGGAGGAGGAGGAGGAGGAGGAGGAGGAGGAGGAGGAGGAGGAGGAGGAGGAGGAGGAGGAGGAGGAGGAGGAGGAGGAGGAGGAGGAGGAGGAGGAGGAGGAGGAGGAGGAGGAGGAGGAGGGAGGAGGAGGAGGAGGAGGAGGAGGAGGAGGAGGGAGGAGGAGGAGGAGGAGGAGGAGGAGGAGGAGGAGGAGGAGGAGGAGGGAGGAGGAGGAGGGAGGAGGAGGAGAGGAGGAGGAGGAGGAGGAGGAAGGGGAGGAGGAGGAGGAGGAGGAGGAGGAGGAGGAGGAGGAGGCGCAGGCCTCTCGGGAGCCTCTTGCGGCACTCTTGGGGCCTCCTGGGAGCTTCTTGGGGGCCTCCTGTAGGGTTTTGGGGGGCCTTTGGGGGTTTCTTGAGGGCCTCTTTGGCCGTCTGAGGGCGTTCCTGGCTTGTCTGACGCCGTCGGAATCCGTCTTGGGGGCCTGTCTGGGTCGTCTTGGGGCCCTCTTGGGGCATATCAGGGGTTCTTAGAGGCCATCTTGGGCGTCTTGGAGGCCTCTTGAGCTGTTTGGGGCCCTCTTGGGGGCGTCTTGGGGGCCTTTTGGGCCGTCATGGGGCCATCTTGGGGGCCTCTTGGGCGATCTTGGGGGCCTCTTGCGCCGTCTTGAGCCGTCGGAATGCCGAGAAGAAGCAAATGCCAAAATCTTTCAAAAACCAGAGGAACATCACTTATTTTGGCCTCTTGGCCGTCTTGGAGGCCTCTTGGGGGCCTCGTGGGCCGTCTTGGTCCATCTTGAGGCCATCTTGGGTGCATATTGGGCCGTCTTGGAGGCATCTTGGGGCGATCTTAGCCGTATTAGAGGCCATTTGGGCTCCGTCTTAGGGCCCTCTTGGACCGTTCTGGGGCCATCTTGGAGGCCTCTTGGGCGATCTTTCGGCGATCTTTGGGGGCTCTTGGGCCGTCTCGGGCCATCGGAAGGCTAAAAAGGAAATGCCAAAATCCGTCAAATACCTTGACAATCACTGTTTTTGGCCTCTTCTGGCCTTCCTGGAGGCCTTCTTGGGGGCCATTTTGGGCCAGCCTTGAGCCAACTTCTGCCATCTTGGTGGGTTCCTGGCACGTCTGACGCCGTCGGAAGCCGTCTTAGTGGCCTTTCTGGGCCGACTTAAGGCCCTCTTGAAGCGCTTCGGGGCCGTCTTAGAGGCCATCTTGGGCGTCTTGGAGGCCATCTTGAGCGTGTTGGAGGCCTCTTGGGCCGTCTTGGGGCCCTCTTGGGGCCGTCTTGGAGGCCACTTGGGCCGTCATGGGGCCATCTTGGGGGCCTCTTGGGCGATCTTGGGGGCCTCTTGGGCTGTCTTGAGCCGTCGGAATGCCGAGAAGAAGCACATCCCAAAATCCTTCAACAACCTTAGGAAAATCAATGATTTTGGCCTCTTCGGGCCCTCCTGGAGGACCTCTTGGAGGCCTCTTGGGCCGTCTGGGAGGCCTCTGGGGGGCCTCTTGGGCCGTCTTGGACTCTCTTGGGCCGTCCTGGAGGCCGTCGTGGACCATCTTGGGCGGACTTGGAGGCCATCTTGGAGGCCATCTTGGGCCAACGTGGCCATCTTGCGCGCCATCTTGAGCCGTCTTGGAGGATTGTTTGTGGACGTTGGGGTCCTGGGCAATCCTCCCGGGACCCCGGCGGGACGGGCCAAAGCGCCAGGGGGAGTTCTTTTGGAAAAAACCAAAACGAAAAACCGAAAGGGTCCAGCACGCCAGGCACCCCTGCGATGAATCGACAGGGGGCGGCGGATCGAAGACGCCTACGGCGAACCACCGCCGCCCCCTGCCTTGTTGGAAGCGCCTATGTGGCCGAACGTTGAGGCCAGACCTGCCAAGCCATCGGACCATGTGTTCCCCGAATCGGTTTGGAAAGCCTTCGGGGAACACGTGGGCATCTTGAAGATCATCTTGGCCGTCTTGGAGGCCTCTTGGGCGATCTTTCGGCGATCTTTGGGGGCTCTTGGGCCGTCTCGGGCCGTCGGAAGGCCGAAATGAAGGAAATATCAAAATCCGTCAAAAACCAAAGGAAAATCAATGTTATTGGCCTCTTCTGGCCTTCCTGGAGGCCCTCTTGGGGGCCTCTTGGGCCAGCTTCGAGCCAACTTCGGCCATCTTGGTGGATTCCTGGCACGTCTGACGCCGTCGGGAGCCGTCTTGGGAGCCTTTCTGGGCCAACGGAGGACCCTCTTGGGGCGCTTCGGGGCCGTCTTAGAGGCCATCTTGGGCGTCTTGGAGGCCATCTTGGGCGTGTTGGAGGCCTCTTGGGCCGTCTTGGGGCCATCTCGGAGCCTTTTGGGCCGTCATGGGGCCCTCTTGGGGGCCTCTTGGGCGATCTTGGGGGCCTCTTGGGCCGTCTTGAGCCGTCGGAATGCCGAGAAGAAGCACATCCCAAAATCCTTCAACAACCTCAGAAAAATCAATGGTTTTGGCATCTTCGGCCCCTCCTGGAGGACCTCTTGGAGGCCTCTTGGGCCGTCTGGGAGGCCTCTGGGGGGCCTCTTGGGCCGTCTTGGGCCGTCTTGGACTCTCTTGGGTCGTCTTGGAGGCCGTCTTGGACCATCTTGGGCGGACTTGGAGGCCATCTTGGGCCATCTTCGCGATTTGTTGAGGACGTCCCGAGCGAAACGGCCGTTTCAGGGAAGATTTGTCGTGGAGTTTGCGCTCCTGGGACCCCGGCGGGACGGGCCGAAGCGCCAGGGGGAGTTCTTTTGGAGAAAGAACCAGCACCAAAACCGAAAGGATCCAGCGCGCCAGGCACCCCTGCGATGAATCGACAGGGGGCGGCGGATCGAAGACGCCTACGGCGAATCACCGCCGCCCCCTGCCTTTTTGGAAGCGCCTATGTGGCCGAACGTTGAGGCCAGACCTGCCAAGCTATCGGACCACGTGTTCCCCGAATCGGTTTGGAAAGCCTTCGGGGAACACGTGGGCATCTTGAAGGTCATCTTGGCCGTCTTGGAGGCCTCTTGGGCAAGCTTTGGGCGATCTTTGGGGCTTTTTGGGCCGTCTCGGGCCAGCTTCGAGCCAACTTCGGCCATCTTGGTGGGTTCCTGGCACGTCTGAAGCCGTCGGAAGCCGTTTGGGGGGCCTCTATGGGCCGACTTGGGGCCCGCTTGGAATGCTCCAGGGCCGTCTTGGAGGCCATCTTGGGCGTCTGGGAGGCCATCTTGGGCGTGTTGGAGGCCTCTTGGGCCCTCTTGGGGCCCTCTAGGGGCCATCTTGGAGGCCACTTGGGCCATCATGGGGCTCTCTTGGGGGCCTCTTGGGCGATCTTGGGGGCTTCTTGGGCCGTCTTGAGCCGTCGGAGAGCCGAAAAGGCGCAAATGCCAAAATCCTTCAAAAACCAAGGGAAAATCAATGATTTTGGCCTCTTCGGACTCTCCTGGAGGACCTCTTGGAGGCCTCTTGGGCCGTCTGGGAGGCCTCTGGGGGGCCTCTTGGGCCGTCTTGGGCCGTCTTGGACTCTCTTGGGCCGTTTTGGAGGCCGTCTTGGACCATCTCGGGCGGACTTGGAGGCCATCTTGGGCCATCTTCGCGATTTTTTGAGGATGTCCCGAGCGAAACGGCCGTTTTTGGGCATTGAGAGATGGGTTTTGGGCCAATTTGCGGGTGGCCGGCGGGACGGGCCGAAGCCCATTGGGGAGTTCTTTTAGAAAAAGAACCAAAACCAAAACCTGAATCATCCAGCACGCCGTGCACCCCTGCAAGCAGGGGGCGGCGGATCTGGTGGCATTCGGCCCATCCCGCCACCGTGCCTGGGCTGTGGCTCAGAAGCCTCTTGGTTGTGCGGTGGGATCTCGTGAGAAGCGTCGCTGGGGCCTTCCCGAGGCAGTT